GCCGACCGATTTTCCAAAGCAGTAACCGAGGAGAGAAGCAACCTGGAATTAAGGAGAAATTTCCTAACAGTGAGGAGAATGAATTAACCAGTGGAACAGCTCGCCACCAGAAGTTGTGGCTGCCCCATCACTGGAGTTTTCAAGAAGAAATCGGACAAGCCCTTTGTCTGAAATGGTATAGGGCTTCTTGTCTGAGCAGGGGGTCAGTCTAGAAGACCTCCAAGGTCCCTTCCAACACTGTTAATTCTCCAAAGCACCAGAAGGCAAGACAAGAAGCAACGGATGGAAACCAATCCAGCTGAGAAGCAACTCTGGAATTAAGGAGAAACTTCGTAAGAGTGAAGACAAATTAATTAACCGGTGGAACCGCTTGCCACCAGAAGTTGTGGCTGCCCCATCACTGGCGGTTTTGAAGAAGAGAATGGACAGCCGGGATAGAGTCTCCTCTTTAAGCAGGGGGCTGGACTAGATGACCTCCAAGGTCCCTTCCCACTCTATGTTACCCTGTTCCCCCCCAAAATAAGACATCCCCTGATAATAAGCCCAATCGGGCTTTTGAGCGCAGGGCAATAAGGATAAGCGCTTATTTCAGGGTTCAAAAAAATATAACACAGGGTCTTATTTTCGGGGAAACACGGTATTCTATGTTATTCAGTTCCAACAACATTCTTCCTTCTCCCTCTCTCCCTCCCTCCTTCCCTCCCTCTTTTTGCTCCGAGGCCCGATCCCGTCTGCCAGATCTATTCGGCTTCGATCTAATTTGATCCCAGAAGATTAGTTCAGATCCCTGTTATTTTCTGCCCCTTTTCCCTTACTACTACTACTAGATTCGCTAGCTGAGGATTCTGGAACGAAAAGTTGGCTGGGAATTCTGGGTTTTGAAATCCACACACCTGGATGAGGTTTTTAGAAACCCCCTCTAGGCGCTGCCGCCCCCAGCCCCATTTGCAAGGTTGCCTCGACGGAGACTGCTAAGAAAAACAGCCTGCAACCCCCCCCCACCCCTACCAGTCTCTATTTATAGGATGCTATATTTTCTTCTCGGTAAGGAGACACCGGCGAGGGTGAGCTATGCCCCCGTCCCCCGAGTGCAGGAGAGACCCCCTCTGCCCAGATAGCAAAGCTCCCTAAAGCCAGGAGAATCAGGACGGGTTTTTCCCCCAATTCCCCCTCCCCTTAATCTCCCCCCCTCCTCCCTAAACACAACAAAGCAATATGATGTCGTAAAGCAGTACAATTTTACTGGAGCTGCTTAAATTTCTACGCGCTTTCCGCCACCGAGTTTCTTCCGCATCGCTTTCCGCCGCGTGCACTGGGCTTCAGTAATGTCCTTGTTTGAATGTTCATTTAAATTTCTTCAGTGGGGGGGAAAGTGGGAATCTCTCTGGGGGGGCCCTCAAAAAAAAAAAAAAGAGTCCCGAGATTCGGGGGGGTTCTTCGGAGGAGAGACCCGGATGGTGGTCTTTTAAGGTGCTGATCAGGAGGGCCGAAGAGTCTTTGTTCCTTCTTCGTGCCAGGAGGAGAGCAGGGCCAGCCGCGCCCTTCTGCTCCAAGAAGAAGTAGGCGGGTGGGCGGGCATGAATAACCCTTCCCCAAAACTACTCGCTGCTCCCTTCAGCCGAGGTGCTCTCGGAATTGCTGTTGCTGGACACAGGCACTTCGGAAGGCTTCCCGGGGTCGGCGGAGGTTGGAGGGTGGGTTGCTGGCTCCTTGGCCGTCTCGGTGCCCTCGGCATGGGTGCACGGTTCTTCTGACGTTTGCCCCGCTGTGCTGGGCACTTTCTCCTGCTTCAGGAATTGCCGGAGCTTCTCCATGTGCTCGCGGAGGTGCTGCTGTTCCGCCCGCAGGGTCGCGGCCTCCTGGCGCAGGTGGCCGATGGTCGAGACCAGGAGGCTCACCACGCGTTTCGCCTCGGCCACCCGCTGTTCCAGGATCTGGCGAGGGGTACCTTGCAACTCCTGGTCCTCGGGGCTGGCGGCAGACGACTCCTGCCTTTCTTCCACATCGGGGGTAGGTACCCCAGGCATGATGCCAAGGCGAGGTGCGAAACAAAAAGCAGGGCCGTTCAGGGGTGGCGGAGAGCTCCCTCGAGGTGCAGGCCAGGCCGAGTCCCGAGAGAAAGCAGACCCCGGTCTTCTCGGCTGCCTGCCTTGGTCCGCGGGTCACAAGGTGGGCTGGACGGTGGGCCGAGTCTTGATGTCAGTGGTCGGCTATTCTGGTCGCGGAGAAGCTCTCCGTCCTGGGTGGCATTTCCCCGTGACAGACAAGCACAGGGGGCTGGATGGGAGCCAAGCGACCCGGCTGGTCGAGGGGAGGGGAGGGGTAGAGGAGGAGCTGGGCTTGTCCAGCGACAGGGAAACAACCTTCCCTTTGCAAGGGGTCCCTTCCCTTGGCCTCACACTCTGCGGAGTGTCGTTGTGTTGTTGTGGAGAGATGAGTGGCCAGACTGTCTTCCCTGAGACGCTTGAAAGAGTTCGGGATGAGAAGTACTGTCTGAAAGGGGGGGGGTGAGGAAAAGGGGGTCTCCTACCCCAGAACTCAAACCCAGACAAATCTGAACAGCAGGTAAAGGCAATAAAGTGACTGAGTGCTCAACGCTCAATCTGTCTCACACACTTGTACAATAGGGTACCACCCACATCTTCTTACACAATATGCCTTCACCCAAAGGACCACCTGGGCCTCATCCATTAAGAAAAGCTCCTTATGGCAGGTCAGAGAGAGAGAGAGGAAGAGAAGAGAGAAAGGAGGGGAGGGAAAAGAGAAAGAGAGAGAGAGAAAGAGAGAGAAAGGGAGAAAGAGAATAGAGAGAGAGGGAAAGAGGGAGAAGGAAAAGAGAGAGAAAGAGAAAAAGAGACAGAGGGGGAGAGAGAGAAGGGATGGAAAACAGAAAGGGAGAACGAGAGAAAGAAAAAGAAAAAGAGGGAGAAGGAAAAGAGAAAGAAAGAGAGAGAGAAGAGAGAGAAAGGGAGAAAGAGAAAAGAGAGAGGGGGGGAGGGAAAAGAGAGAGAGAAAAGAGAGGGGGAAAAGAGAGAGAGGGAAAAAGAGAGAGAGAGGGAAAAGAGAGAGAAAAGAGAGAAAGGGAGAAAGAGAAAAGAGAGGGAGAGAAAGAGGGAGAGAGAGAGGAGAGAGAAAGGGAGAAAGAGAAAAGAGGGAGAGAAAGCGGGAGAGGGAAAAGAGAGAGAGAGGCAGAGAGAGAAGAGAAAAAGAGAGAGAGACTTTTCGATCCCCATCAACATGTGATCAAGATTCGGCCACTTGGCCACTGGTTCACGTTTATGACCGTTGCTGTGTCCCCGAGGTCACGTGATCCCCTTTTGCAACCTGAACACCATCATCCTCCACCCACCTTCGCTCCCGAGCAGGCCAAGCCGGGGGCTCCGGCACAAGGCAAAAATCCCAGAGAGAGAGCTGAGCCCCCCCCCGCCCCACTCCCTTTCAAATACTTTCAGCCGAGAGGGGGACCCCTGGACTCACCCACCTGCGGGAGACCGGGGAGAGAGGGGGGCATTTCTCGCAGGTCCTAGCAGAGAGGTGGGAGGAGGCCCATCCCGCTCACCTGAGCAGCTCTTCCCGGTCTCCGTCCCCGGCGGCCTGAATAATGCAGGACTCGGCGGGGATCGAATTCCCAGCCTGACCGCTCGCCTCGCTTCTGCCCTTTTCAGTTTCTCCATCCCGAATTGCACCCAGGACCTCGCAACCCTGGCTGCTCCCCCCCCCACTCCCTTGTGAGAGCGGAAGGTCTCCCATCTTGGTTACTTCCTCACCTGGGCAGGGGGAGGGGGCTTCTCCCAGGGGGCTGCTCCTGCTGGGCAACCTAAGGCCTTTTGTGCAGCCGGAAGGATTTTCTAAGCCGCCAAACGTCATCCTTTTAAGAGGGACAAGGCAGGTCAGCTCCAGGCTTAGCTTAATCGGCCTGGACACTGAGGGGGGGGCGAAGGGGGGCTCCTGCCATCACTGCAGCCAGAGATGAATTTGGGGAGGGGGGCGCAGAAGCGACTCCTGATGGGTTTCTAATTCCTAGGCTAAAATTGTATTATCTCTTTCAAACACCAAACTTTATTTTTTTTTAACAAAAGAAATACAGGTAGTCTCAAACGTTTCGTTTAGTGACCGTTCGGAGTTACAGCAGTGCCAAAAAAGGGGACTTATGACCGTGTTTCACACTTACAACCGCTGCAGCCGTCCCCGTTGGTCACGCACGGACCAAAATTCGGATGCTTGGCAATGGGTTCATATTTATGACGTCCTGACAAGCGGAGTCAACGGGGAAACCAGATTCGTTTTTAACGTACCGTGTGACTAAATTAACGACGGTGGTGGTTCGCTTAACAACGGCGGCCAAGAAAGGTCGTAAAACGGGAGCAAAACTCACTTAGCAATAGCAATCGAACTTATAAACCGCTTCGCAGCGCTTTTCCAGCCCTCTCTAAGCGGTTTACAGAGATGGCCTCTTGCAAACCCCAACAATCTGGGTCCTCGTTTTACCGACCTTGGAAGGACGGAAGACTTGAGCCACTGAATAACCGAGGCACAATGTCATCCCCCCAAATATAAGGTTAACTTTAATTCTAACTATTATCATCATCCTCTTTTAACGACCCCATAATCACTTGCGGGGTGGAGTCTTGGGCAACCAAATGGAGCTGAGGGTTTACTGGCCGGATGCCTTTCCTGTCGCCAATCCAGAGTTATATTCAGCAAATATTCGGCAGATGTATTCTCAATGTGCTCAGAGAGAAATATCAGCCTCTACCTAGGATCGAACTCACAGCCTCTTGATTGTGAGGCCAGAGCTCCGCCTCTAGGCCACCGCACCACGCGGCTCTAATTCTAACTCTCGACAGCCTGAAAAAAAGACACGGCTGCTTTAAAGACGAGACCGATCTCCCTCCGTTCTTGCCCATATTGCTTCCAACCCGCCAGATCTTGACGGTGCCAACACAGAATTTGGACCACCGGACAAATATCCCCCTCCGGAACTGAAGGGTTCCTCCCCTGCCATCCGGCTTCTCCCCTGCCCCCTTCCACAACAGCCGAGCCGCGCAAAAGCAGCCTCTTCCTGCAGGCGGAATCGGAGGCCCGACGAAAGGAGACGGACTCACCTTCTGAAAGCTGCCGCTGGAGCTGCCATGGCTGGAGGTGGTGATTCGCAGCGGGGAGTTCCTCAGTCCCAAGGTGAGCTCTGCGGGTTTGGGAAGAGGAAAAGAGGGGTGAGAGACGGGCTCCCCCCTCCAAAGGGTTATCGCGAGAAGATGGGCTCGCCGAGAAAAGATTAACCAGGATTTGGATGGAGCCGTTCGAGTTCTTGCTTCGTGCGAGCGCTGCACGCACAACAGAGCCTCAGAGACCGCGCAAGAGGTTTAAGAGGGACGTGAAGCTAAAGAGTTCCAAAATGTTTCTCCGGATCAGTCCAACTTTGTCCGAGAAGGATCAAAGGATCTTCCAGGGACGCGGAAGAAACAGGGTTAATCTCTCTCAAGCTTTCCAGGCCGAGCGGGCTGTAAACCGGATCGAAAAAAGGGGAAAGGGGCTCCCTTAATAGGAAGCATTCTGCCTCCCCTCTCCCCCAATCCCTCACCCCAAATTTGGACGCTTGGCAACCGGCATGTTATTTAGGACGGTTGCAAATTTCCCCAGGGTCGCCTGATCACTTTTTGGGACATTCTGATAAAGAGATAGAGATAGAGATAGATAGACAGACAGACAGACAGATAGATGGGGCTTCCCCTGTTCGCACAGCCTGGTTTTCTGGCATGCCACGACCTGGTGCCCATCCACAGATGAGGGGTTGAGGACAGGGGTGAAATGCTACTGGTTCGGACCGGTTCGCCTAAACCGGTAGTAAAAAAATGCTTTAAAAAAGTAAAAAATAAAGGTTCCAATGATCGCAGGCACAGCTGATAGATAGATGGATGATAGATGGATGGATGGATGGCTGATAGGTAGGTAGGTAGGTAGGTAGGTAGGATAGGTAGGTAGGTAGGTAGGTAGATAGATAGATAGATAGAATGGACAATAGATGATATTAGATGATATTGATAATATAGATAGATACTGGTAGAAAGATAGATAGATGGATGGATGGATGGCTGATAGGTAGGTAGGTAGGTAGGTAGGATAGATAGGTAGGTAGGTAGGTAGGTAGGTAGGTAGGTAGGTAGATAGATAGATAGATAGAATGGACAATAGATGGTATTAGATGATAGATTGATAATATAGATAGATACTGGTAGAAAGATAGATAGATAGATGGATGGATGGATGGATGGATAGATAGATAGAATTCTTTTATTGGCCAAGTGTGATTGGACACACAAGGAATTTGTCTTTGGGGCATTTGCTCTCAGTGTACATAAAAGAGAAGATACATTCGTCAAGAATCATAAGGTACAACACTTAATGATAGTCATAGGGTACAAATAAGCAATCAAATTATACTAGGAAACAATCAATACAAATCGTAAGGATACAGCAACAAGTTACAGTCATGCAGTTGAAGAACCTCGGGGTTTTCACAATTAGGGGCGAGACAGGTTTTAAAATGGGGGGTAAAACTCACTGAACGCAACTGTCTTGCTTAACAACGGATTTGGGGCTTAATCACAGTCGTAAGTCGAAGGGCGACCTACGTATCATGATTTTTAACAATGCCGTCAAGACCAACATGCTTCGTTAAACGTATTTGCGCCTTTCAAAATACCCTTCCCTCAAGCAGAATCCTGCATTCTTAAGCCAATGCCAATGTCCTTCGGGCCTCCCGAGGGGCAAGGCTTGGCCGGGGATGATGGGGATTGTAGTTCAGGGCCTGAAGGATGGGTCGGCAGGTCACGCAAAGTGCAAAGCTACAGCCGACAAACCGGTCTCCCGAGCGAAGCCGAAGAGCTCACAAACGGGTGCGATACGAACGGAAAGCGTAAGCTGTGGAACATACAAGGCAGCTGTGCAACACAACACAACACAACCACGAGGAACGTGCATCTCTCAGTATGTATACGGGTGAGGCAGCATCATCCGCAGCCGTTTCTAAAAGCTAGATTTTAGCCTGCTGTAGATTTCGGAGGGCGAACCTCTTATATGGGCAACGAACAGGTTTTCTCAGCTGCAAAAGGAGGAGTCGGTGCCAGGATTTAAAATACACACACACACAGACACAGCACCAATAAAACTTTCCATCCAGTTCAGTTGATAAACATCAGATGGGGCCCGTTGCGTGCAGAAGTGATTTCGCCCAAAATAGGAAAATTTCCAGCCTCGGGGACCTCACTCACTGCAGGAACCCAAAGTTGGCCACGAACTGCGAACTTAGCTGCAGTTTGCAGCTAACTTTTCAATCGGGAACTGCTCTGGAGTGGGGGTGGGGGGTGGGGGGGAGTGGGGTGGGCTCCCTTGGAGCAGTGCAAGCCCACCGCCGGCTGCCCAACTTTCAGGTGTTTGCTGGGATCAGCCGGATCTGCAGAGCGCAGAAGAGAAGGAAGAAAGAGTCAGCCGAGGGAACGAAAGGGGAGAGAGGGAGGGAAAGAGAGAGAGAGAGGAAGGAAGGGAGGGAGGGAGAGAAAGAGAGAGAGAAAGGAAGAGAAAGGAAGGAAAGAAAGAAGGAAGAGGGAGGAGGGAGGAAGAAGGAAGGAAGGAAGGAAAGAAGGAAAGAAGGAAGGAAGGAAGAAGAGAAACAAGACAGAAGGGAAGAGAGGAGAAAGAGAAAGAAAGAAAGAGAGAAAGAAAGCAAGAAAGAAAGAGAAAGAAAGAAAGAGATGAAGGAAGGAAGGAGGAAAGAAGGAAGGAAGGAAGAAAGGAGACAAGACAGAGGGAAGAGAGGAAGAAAGAGAAAGAAGAAAGAGAAAGAAAGAAAGAAAGAGAAAGAAAGAAAGAGATGAAGAAGGAAGGAAAGAAGGAAGGAAGGAAGAAGAGAGACAAGACAAAGGAAGGAGGAGGGAGGAAGAAAGAGAGAGAGAGAAAGAAAAAAAGAAAGAGAAAGAGAAAGAAGGAGAGAAAGAAGGAAAGAAGAGACAAGACAAAGGGAAGAGAGAAAGAAAGAGAAGAAAGCAAGAAAGAAAGAGAAAAAGAAAGAAAGAAAGAAAGAAAGAAAGAAAGAAAGAAGGAAGGAAGGAAGGAAGGCTTCTTGACAATTAACATGGTCTTGCACCCTCCACGGGAAACATTTACCCACTCGTGACCTTACCAAAAAGCCTCGTCGCTCCCCCAAAACGCCCAGCAATTACTTTAATTGAACCGAAATGCTATTTTGGGGGGCACCTGCAAAGGCAGCCCTGAGATCCTGAGCCAAAGGCTCTCTAGCTCTGGACCCCAGAAAAGCTACTCACTGCATCCCTTACAAAACCAGAAGTGCAACATTTTCTCTTTCCTTTTCTTTTTTTGCATTCCCTCCCTTTTCCCTGCCTACCTCCCCGTTTTTCTGTCCTGCCTGGAAACGTCCGCAGCTGCCTGGAGTGGGGTATTTCCCACCCACCCCGCTTTGCAAGGGACACCCCCCCCCCCGAGAGAAACATAGGCCACCTTTCTTCCTATGCCACAAAAGAGGGGAAAAGGTGAGAATCCGAAGCAACCTCGCCCTCCAACCACCGCGGGGCCCCCTCACCTGCTCGCTGGTTCCCGGGGGGTCCCGCCAGGTGGCCCCGCAGAGGCTGATGGCGGCTGTCCTTGATTTCAATGGTCAGGAGGGTCTTCATCTCGTCGTCAGGGTGGGCAGCCGGACGGCGGAGCAGGGAGGCTGCCGGGTTGTGGGCCGAGCCGCTTTGCTGGTTACGGAGCACCTCTGAGTCCGTGGGTCCCCCCTTGGCATTTTCAACGCCGGACCGGGCGGGGCCCAGCTTCCTCTCCTGCCATTGGCTGCCCTGGATCCGCCCTTGGGGACCGCCTGCCTCTTTAGGGATGGACGGAGCCTGCGAAGGGGGCCTGCTGCCCGCTCCCGCCTTGGAGTGAGAAGGGCCGGTCCGGGCTGCCTCCTGCACCTTGCTGCCAGCCTGGAGCGTCCGAACGGCAGTGCCGCCACGGTCCCGCAAGGGTGAGTTGGCCGCGTGATGGGAAGGCAGAAGATGGTGTTGTGGCAGGGCGGGTGGCCCTCTGCCGGCCTTTTCTCCCTTGGGGGGCGCAGCTGGAGGGTTTGGGGGGTCCGAGGTGAATTTGCGAGCGCGCTCGCGGATGGAGCCGGCTCTTTGGAAGGGCTGCTGCTCCCGGCACGGCTCTGGAGAGAGGGAGGGAGAGGGAGATGTCAGTGGAGGGAGGACCAGCCTGGGAGCAGAGAATGTTTTATCTCAAGCAGCTGGGAGCCCTGCCAGGCTTTGGGGGGGTGGGGGGTGGGGGGGAGAGTTTCCGCCCCAGGAAAGCAAAGCGCTCAGCATCGTCCTCCGCTTCCCTCCCAGTTATATTCAGAAAAATCTGCCTTCTTTCCAAAAAAAGGAAAGAACGGGATCATCCATCACTGCCTCTCTTCCCAACCTCACCAGGGCTTCTCTGCTAAGTCTTCAGCCTTTCTGGGCTAGGCAGGTCCCAACCAGGGTGTGGGGGGAGGCAGTCAGAGGGATGCCCACCTATAAATGTCCCCGATACGTTAAGGAGTGGGGCAAGGGTCTACCCTGTAGCACCCTGAGTAGACTTTGCAGAGTTGGCCATTGTCCCACTCCTAACATAACGGGGGCATTTGTAATGGAGACCCCTCTGACTGCCCCCCACCCAATCCCAATTAGGATCTGCTTAACCCAGAAAGGCTGGAAACCAGCAGAGAAGCTCTGGTGAGGTTGGGAAGAGAGGCTGGTCTATGACTATTTGCTATGGCCAACTAACCACAGTCAACTCAACACAGTCAACTCGCCATGGCCAACTTACCATGGCCAACTCAACATGGTCAACTCACCATGGTCAACTCACCATGGCCAACTCACCATGGTCAGCTCACCATGGCCAACTAACCATGGCCAACTTGCCATGACCAACTCAACATGGCCAACTCACCATGGTCAACTCACCGTGGTCAGCTCACCATGGCCAACTCACCATGGTCAATTCACCATGGTCAACTCATCAAAATCAACTCGCCGTGGTCAGCTCACCATGGCCAACTAACCATGGCCAACTCATCAAGACCAACTCACCACGGTCAACTCGTGGCAGGACAACTCAGTGCGAGACTAGAGACATTAATATCAAAGAAATGGTGGAATACTCATTAAAGAAAGGATGCAGAAGGAGGAACAGAACAAAATGTGAATGGCAAAAACTAATTTTTTTAAAAAAAATTAAATAATTAAATAGCATTGTTAAATTGTCCAGCAGCGAGTTGGGTTGTGGCAAGTTGGCAGTGGCAACTTGTCCCATTCCACCATAGCACAGCCTCCCCCCCCCCTGCCTTCCAGAGTTTTCTGGCTCAGCCCAGAACCAAGCAGGCTGGCTTGGGGTCTCTGGGTGTTTCCTGCAAGGGGCCTGATCCTGTGCTTCTCAACCTGGGCATCTTGAAGACAGGTGGGACTTCGATTCCCAGAATTCCCCAGTTGAAGCCAAGGTTGAGGAGCACCGCCGAACCCTTTCCTTGGATTTTGCCAGAGGGCCGCAGCAAAGGAGGCGTCCAGATTATCTTCAACCGGGGCTGATTGGGGGAAAAGACCCAACAAGAGGCTGAGAGGATTACCTGCATCAGGTGGCTTTGGAGGAACGTTGTAGCTGTCCGTTTCTACCATTTGGGAGGCTCCAGTTGCTAAACAAGCATTAAGATGGGAAAACAGAAGTTGCGTTAAGAGAGGAAGGGATTCAGCCTCCCATGGGCACAGACACCAATGTGGCTAAATGGCGGTGACCAGATCCCTGGCCTGGATCCCACAGGCCAAACTCTCCTCCCGCCTCGATCTTGCGACCATTCAGAGATCCCAGAATACTTCACAACTCTATCATCATAGCCAATTTGGCATGGCCAACTCATCGTAGCCAACTTGGCACGGCCAACTCATTATAGCCAACTTGCCATGGCCAACTCATCATAGCCAACTTGCCATGGCCGACTCATGATAGCCAACTTGGCATGGCTAACTCATGATAGTCAACTTGGCATGGCCAACTCATTATAGCCAAATTGCCATGACCAACTCATTATAGCCACTTGCCATGGCCAACTCATGATAGTCAACTTGGCATGGCCAAGTCATCGTATCCAACTTGCCATGGCCAACTCATTGTAAACAATTTGCCACAGCCAACTTGCCACACATGGGGGGGAGAACTCTAGGAATTGGAACCCCCTCCACTAGCAGATGCCCGGCAAAGCCCTCCCCAGGCCACCCAGTCAAGGAAACTGCCCTTCAAAGGCACAGCTGGTCGCAGCTGGAGTTCCTCCAACCCATTTCAGGGTGGCCGCAAATCCCCTTCCCCCATTCCCCGGGTCGGGCCGACTATCCAGCGAAGCTCACTCCCTCTTGTCCTCAGCTGAGCTCTGTGGCCCTGGCTGGCCTCCAGCCCCCCCTCCCAGTCCTGCTCATCCCTCGCAGCTCCTCCCCACCGTTCAAAGGCTCCTGTCCCACCAGCAAGACAGATCATACATCAAGCGTTGCCTTGACGGATGCCTGGCTCCTGCTTCCAAGAGGGGTCAGCCAAGAATTGTCTCAAAGAAGAACAGGGGGCAGGACACGGGCGGTGCCCCCCACGAAGGCGCCTGGGCGAACATAAGGCAGCTTTGCTCCCAACCCCCAAAAGAAGCCAATACAAGGAGAACTGGGGGCGGCAGTCCGCTTGAGCCAGTGAGCCAAGGAATAAAATGATTTGGGGCCGTGGCAGGAGAGGAAGGGGAAAGAATTAGAACTGTGTGGGTGAGAGAAGATTTTCCACAATGCCTTAAAAACTCAGCTGAACAGGTCTTAGGATAAAGAGGGGGCTGCAGAATGACCTCTCCCCCTCCCCCCCCAGATCACCAAGGAAAGGGAAGTGCCTGGAAAGTACCAAGACCCCCTCCGCAAAACCCTCCACACAAAACCACTTTGCAGGATTTCTCCGTCGGGGTCAGTCAGGGAAACTGGCGAGAGAGAAAGACCAATAAATAACAGCTGTTTAGGATCCAGAAGGACGGGAACCATGCTCCCTGCCTAAACCTCCTTCCTCCTTCCGGTTGAGGGACTTCCAGGAAAGCACCTCCAAGTGCCCACCAAAACTCCAGAGGGGGAAATAGGAGAAAGAAGAAAGAGAAAAGGGAAAAGAGGAAAGAAAGGGAAGGGAAGGGAAGGGAAAGGAAAGGAAAGGAAAGGAAAAGGAAAGGAAAGGAAAGGAAAGGAAAGGAAAAGAAAGGAAAGGAAAGGAAAAGGAAAGGAAAGGAAAGGAAGGGAAGGGAAAGGAAAGGAAGGGAGGGAAAGGAAAGGAAAGGAAAGGAAGGAAGGGAAGGGAAAAAGAAAGGAAAGGAAAGGAAAAAAAAGGAAAGGAAAAGGAAAGGAAAGGAAGGGAATGAAGAGGAAAGGAAAGGAAAGGAAAGGAAAGGAAAGCAAAGCAAGGGAAGGGAATGAAGAGGAAGGGAAAGGAATGAAGAGGAAAGGAAAGGAAAGGAAAGGAAAGGAAAGGAAAGGAAAGGAAGGGAAGGGAAGGGAAAGGAAAGGAAGGGGAGGGAAAGGAAAGGAAAGGAAAGGAAGGGAAGGGAAGGGAAGGGAAAAGAAAGGAAAGGAAAGGAAAAAAAAGAAAGGAAAAGGAAAGGAAAGGAAAGGAAGGGAATGAAGAGGAAAGGAAAGGAAAGAAAGGAAAGCAAAGCAAAGCAAAGCAAGGAAAGGAATGAAGAGAAAGGAAGGGAATGAAGAGGAAAGGAAAGGAAAGGAAAGGAAAGGAGTAGGGAAAGGGAGAAGGAGGAAAGGGGCTTTCACAAATAAAGGAGAGGGCCTCAACCAAGGAAGGAGGGTGCGAGGGAAGAGATGTTCCTGACCTTATTGGGTGAAAGAATGTGAAAGGTTCAACTCTGAAAAGTAAATTCCCTTTCTGGGCAGGAACGGCAGAGCGGCCTCCCATCGCCCGCGGCCTCCCTTGGAGACCAGAGGCAGCAGGGCAAAAGGGCCGGGAGCCAAGCCTCCAGGCAGGATTGGGCCTGGAGGGGTGGGGGAGATCTTTTAGAGCAAGGAGACCCTGCAGAAAGCGCGTTCCCTGCCCCCTCCCTGCAGGCCAAACATCTTCCCAGGAAAGAGAAGCCAGCAGCAGGACAGTCCAGGGAACCACAGCTGGGGGTTTAGGAGCAGAAACAGCTTTGGGGCGACCCCTGAAATGTGGGGGTCCTCCCTGCTCTCTGAGCTTGGTGGTCTTGTGGCTGATGATATTACCTAGTTGGGTGACAAAACGTCTTCAAGAAAACCAGCAAGCTCAGAGAGCACCGAGGACCCCAGAGTTCTCCTCCTCCTCTCCACAAACCTCACTCCTTTCTAGCACTGATGATGTTACCTAGTAGGGTCGCAAAACGTCTGCAAGAAAACAAGCCAGCTCAGAGAGCAACATTTCCGGCAGAGCTGCCTTTACCCCCTTACCTGGCCTGTCTCCCTCCTGGCCAGCAGCACCTTCTCTTCCCTCTTCTGGGGCCTGAGGCACAATCTGGGAGGGAGGGGGGTGGAAGAAAAGCAATGAGAACAGGATTCTGCCCCCACCCCCTGGCCCTCAATATGGGCTGCAGCATTGAGGAGCCCAGAAGGGAAGCCAAACCGCCCCGTAGTTATACCGCCCCTCCCTCAACCAACGGGTTTAATCTGGGATGGGGAGGGGGATTCCACACAGCCAGCGTCCGTGGCATCCCCTAAATATTTCTCTCCCTTCCTTCCTCTCAGCTCGAGATTTTAAAAATCTTCAAGGTTCCCCTCGCACATATGCGCTAGTCGTTCCCGACTCTAGGGGGGCTCATCTCCGTTTCATCTCATCTGGGGGGCTCATCTCCGTTTCAAAGCCCAAGAGCCAGCGCTGTCCGAAGACGTCTCCGTGGTCATGTGGCCGGCATGACTCAACGCACGGAAAGGCGCTCGGAACGCTGTTCCCTTCCCACCAAAGGTGGCCCCTATTTTCCCACTTGCATTTTTTTTACCTGCTTTCGAACTGCTAGGTTGGCAGAAGCTGGGACAAGTCACGGGAGCTCACCCCGTTACGCGGCACTAGGGACTCGAACCGCTGAACTGCCGACCTTTCGATCGACAAGCTCAGTTCTTAGCCACTGAGCCACCGCGTCCCACTTAAAAACCTTAAGCCAAGTCAAAATTAACATCGGTCGTGGGGGACGTTGAAAGGGCAGCCGTGTTCGCTATTCTCAACTTTCCAAAAATGACCTCCCCCCCCAGAAAATCAGCAGAGATGGTTCCCGAAATGGGCCTACACCTGGGTAACTCATGGCCACTAGAAGCCATCCCAAACAGTGATCCCCAACCTTTCCGGCTTGGCGGACCACCTGGAGGTGGGTGGGTGGGGGGAGGGAGAGGGAGCTGTAAGCGTCCACCGTTCAAGGAGGGGCAATTTTTCTTTGGGAGATCCAGATGTGTCCAGCTTCTGCACGTCCATTGCCCAAGTGACTGTCATACGCTTCCCCATCCAAGGGAAGAGGGGTGTGTCTATTTGTGTGTCAGACGCTGGGGAGTCCATTCTTGGCAGGGTTGCCCCCACCCCCAATTCGCTGCCAACTGGAATTTCCCCAAAGTACCTCTCTCTCCTGGCTCAGGAGGGGCTCTTCTTTTGGGGGGGCCTCCCCTACAACGCTGCCCATCTCCAGCTGTTCCTCTTTCCTGGAAGCTTCCCCTTCGGAGGAGTTCAGCCCCTCCTGGACTTTGCAGGGTGCCAGGAATCCATCTTCTTCTTCCTCCTTCTCTTCCTCCTCCTCCTCCTGGGAAGAAGGCTGTGGTTGGGAGCCGGAATCCTGCTCATGGGAATTGAGCCTGGGGTCTTCACCGCTCGCCTCGCTGTCTGGGAAAGGAGCCGACTCGGAAGGCCGGTGGCTGGGGACGGCTTCCAGGAGCAGAACGGTCCCCAAAGAAGACTCTGTTGGGAGGGGGGGGAGAGGGAAAGGAGCTCAGGAGGAGCTCCCTCAGAAGGAGCAGCCAAGCATTGTGGGGGACCCACAACTCCCATCATCCCCAACAATGTTATAGTTCAAGGCATCTGCGGGCTCCAGCTTTCCGCCTCAATCCAATCTACGAGCGCCTTCCGTGCCAACAGGCTGGGCTCTGTGCCAGGCCTCCAGAGGGGGGGGTTCACATATTGTAGCAACAGGTTTGCCCAGCACTGGAAACGTGAGTGCGTGCACACGCGTGTGGCATCACAAAACACGGCCGTTCTCTCTCTTGTGCAGTCCACATGCGTGCAGCATCAAAAACACAGTGATATAGGTGGGTGGATGGCCCCATCTGCAGGTTGTCACTACCGATTCCCCCGAACCGGCTGAATACCTCCTCTGCAGGCTTCCCACCCAGCCCACTCCTGTGAGTGCCTCCTGCGGGGATCTTCAGCCTGGCCTCACCTGGACCATCGTCCGCCTTGGGATCCAGCTGCTCCCGGATCTGGCTTTCGATCACCTCCTGCCCCGCTCGGTTCTGCACCTGGAGGAGGCCAAAAGGAAAATGCACCCTCAGCCCACCCAAGATCCGTTCAGCGAAACCCTAAGCACGCAGAGAGTCCGGTCCTTGTTGGCATACGCTGGGAAGCCCTATTACAGGTCGTCCTGGATTTATGGCCACAGTAGAGGCCGACATTTCTGTTGTTAAGTGACCCTGGATTCCCCGTTAATATTAAAAGCCGTTAATCCCCCGGCAATAGCCAGAACTACCATGTTTCCCCGAAAATAAGACCCTGTCTTATATTTTTTTTGAACCCTGAAATAAGTGCTTGGCCTTATTGCCATGCCCTCAAAAGTCCGATTGGGCTTATTATTAGGGGATAATTTTGGGGGAAACAGGGTATCTATCTATCTATCTATCTATCTATCTATCTATCTATCTATCTATCTATCTATCTGCTATCTCTCTCTCTGCTATCTATCTATCTATCTATCTATCTATCTATCTATCTATCTATCTATCTATCTATCTGCTATCTCTCTCTTCTATCTTTCTATCTATCTATCTATCTATCTATCTATCTATCTATCTATCTATCTATCTATCTATCTATCTATCTATCTGCTATCTCTCTCTCTGCTATCTATCTATCTATCTATCTATCTATCTATCTATCTATCTGCTATCTCTCTCTTCTATCTATCTATCATCCATCTATCTATCTATCTATCTATCTATCTATCTATCTATCTATCTATCTATCTATCTATCTATCTACCGTGTTTCCCCGAAAATAAGACCCTGTCTTATATTTTTTTGAACCCCGAAATAAGCGTTTGGCCTTATTTTCGGGGAGCTCTTATTATTTTGGGGCGCATGGAGCAAGACGGAGCTCCTGTTGCCGTCTTACCCGATTTCCAGCTCTGCGTTTAAATATTTTCAGGGAGGGCTTATTTTCAGGGGGAAGTTTATTTTAGCGCATGCGCTCAAAAGCCCGATTGGGCTTATTATCAGGGGATAGTCTTATTTTCGGGGAAACAGGGTAGTAGAAAGAAGCCCTAAACCATCAACTAGGAAAAGGCTGCCCTCTGGTGGGGGAAATGGGGAAGTTATTCTCAAGGCACAAATCTTCTCCAATAGGGCGCCCCTCCAGAGACGGAGCGACCAGATTTGCAAAGGCAGTCCTGCCTTGTCAGATGAAATCATGGGTATTGCAATTATAAAGCATGTACGGAGTGCAAGACTGGGGCAGCGCAGCCCCAAAAGCCACCTGAGAGGGCCACCAAGGAAGAATTTACGGCAGAGATGGAAAAGGTCTCACACTCCAGGGGGTGGGTGGGGGTGGAATCCGATGCCTCCCAATTGAGGGGCAGCTTCCTTGCCTTCTTCTCCTAGCACGAGCCACGGTGGTGCAGTGGTTAGAATGCAGTATTGCAGGCTACTTCTGCTGACTGCCGGCAATTTGGCAGTTCGAAACCCACCAGGCTCAAGTTTGACTCAGCCTTCCGTCCTTCCGAGGTGGGTAAAAGAAGGACCCAGATTGTTGGGGTTTGCTAGAGGCTGACTCTGTAAACCGCTTACAGAGGGCTGGAAAGCACCGTGAAGTGGTATATAAATCTACGCTCTAGTGCTATTGTTAGTGCTTACCTGGGCGTTTCTGTCCCCTGCAGCATGTTCGCCTTGCTCCTTGGATGCCCGAGCCGTGTCGGTGGCCCTTTGGTAATGGAAAGCTTTCCCCGCCAACTTTGCAGCTTGAGGGAGGGAGGGGAAAAAAGAGCCGTTTCAAACAGGCTGGCATCATTCAGAGCAGTGCCCCCCCCCCTTCCAACGTTTGGGGCACCGGGGACTGGTTCTGTGGAGAGAGTTTTTTCCACGGACCGGAAGGGACGTGGTTTCACATGGTGCCTATATCCCAAAGATTGGGGCTTTGCTTGTTTGTGTGGCCCGTTGCTGGCATTCCGGGGCCCATTGCTGGTCCACGACCCTGGGGTTGGGGTACCCCGGATTTAGAAAACCTTGTTTAGAAGACCGTGGTGACCCTCTCCACACTCCACCCCTGCTGGATCTGGTACCTTCAATTTCTTCTGCGCGCAGCTGGCGGATAGCAGCCCGGATGAGTTTACGTTCTTCGTACTCGCTGGTTCCTCGCAGCTGAGAAGGGAAGCAGAGTCAGCAAAGGTTCAAACGGATCATTTTCCCCACCCCGCCCCTTTGTGGCCCATGTGTTGATGGGAGGCCACCCGGAGAGCCTAGATCCGTCGGCTGGAGTGGAAATCCAAGCAATTTTCTTGGTGGAAAATAGCAATAGACTTTATAGACCATTTCACAGTGTTTTCCAGCCCTCTCTAAGTCTTTACAAAGTCAGCCTCTTGCCCCCAACAATCTGAGAAGGGAGGGAGGGAGGGAGGGAGGGAGGGAGGGAGGGAGGGAGGGAGGAAGGAAGGAAGGAAGGACTAGCAGTAGAACTTAGATTTATATACCACTTTAACTACCTCGTCCTCCATCTTATACCGCAAAAAAAATGTACATATCCTACTAGTTTCTCCTCTCTCCCTTGTATAATTTTGTCCAGTTCATGTTGCTCATTTTGTACTTCGTATAATTTTATATCTTCCTTATGTTTAGACTAAATTTGCATATATGTCCACCAATCAATTCCCCTGTTTAAATCCTGTTCCAATTCCTGTTTCGATTTCAAATTTCCTTGTTCTTTTAGTACATCTCTATATCCGATTATCTTATCCATCTCAATTAAATTTGGGTGTTTTAATGCTCCTGTTGGTGAGATCCAAATCGGTATTTTTGTGTAGGGCTGTTTTTTTTTTTCATTTTTAGCCAAATTTGTAGCAATGCATTCCGCTTGCAAACTCCAACAATCTGGGTCCTCGTTTTACCGACCTCGGAAGGACGGAAGGCTGAGTCCACCTTGAGCCTGGTGAGATTCGAACTGCTCAAATTGCAGGCAGTCAGCAGAAGTAGCTGCTAACCAAGTACTGCACTCTAACCACTTAGACTTATATGCCGCTTCGTAACGCTTAACAGCAGAGTTTCTGGCTTTTTCGACCGGCGGGAAGGACAGGGGATGGTCCCACGCGAACAGCTCTATGACAATGCCCCCCTTGAGCTCCCACTGCAACGTGGAAATGCCCACCCAGCCTCCTCTGCAGTCAGGAAGAGCCAAGCTCCATTCAGCAGGGACCTACCAAGCTGGTCAGCTCCTCCACATCCTGGATGGTCTCCAGCTTTCTCGAAAGGGCGTCCAGAGACTTTTGCTGCCGCTGTTCCTCCTCTTGTTGCCAGGACCTGAAGGGACAAACAACAGAATAACAAGAGTTGGAAGGGACCTTGCGAGGTCTTCTAGTCCAACCCCCTGCTTAGGCAGGAAACCCTACACCACTTCAGACAAATGGTTATCCAATCTTGGTTATCCAAGAGCCTTGGTAGTACAGTGCTTTAGAGCACCCTGTCATTAACACAGCTGCCTGCAATTACTGCAGGTTCGAACCTTACCAGGCTCAAGGTTGACTCAGCCTTCCATCCTTTCTAAGGTAGGTAAATTGAGGACCCAGTTTGTGGGGGCAATAAGCTGACTTTGTATAAATATACAAAAGGATGAAGGCTATTGCTTAGCGCATTGTAAGCCGCCCTGAGTCTCCGGAGAAGGGCAGCATATAAATCAAATTTAAAAAAAAATAAAATCTCTTCTTAAAAACTTCCAGTCTTGGAGCATCCACAACTTCTGGACGCAGGTCGTTCCACTGATTAATTGGCAAGATTAAGTGATTAAGTGGCAAGAAAGGTCGTAAAACGGGGGCGAAACTCACTGAACGACCGTCTCACTTAGCAACCCAAACCTTGGGCTCAAAGGCAGCCATCCAGCTGAGGACTGCCTGAGGAAATTTAACCAAGAAATAAGAACGCTTCGGGAAGGTTGGCCCAGGAGGGTTACAATGCCAGAAAAGTGGGGTGCAGAGGGAAGAAGCGGGCCCGCAACTCACCTCAGCCGGTTCTCCTTGTTCTCCTGCCGCTCCGTCCGGGAGCGCTTGGACGCCAGCGTCTCCTCATCGCGCTCCAGCTCCTGCCGGCGTAGCTCCCGGATGGCCGAACGGATCTGCCTGCGCTCAGAGAAGTCCAGAGTGGCTTCCAGCTGGGAGGGGAAGGGACAGAGTAAGAGGAGGGTCATTCAGGGACGGGTCAAGGGCATTGCGGAGGCCGCCTCGCCCAGGACAGGCATTCCCCGGCCTCTCTTTGGCCACCCCCGGGGACAGGCACACAATGGGCACAGTGAGAGGTTTGCACAAAGGGCCACTGTCCCTCCGGCCGAGCCCTTGTGCTCTCCCTAGGCTTAGTGGCTCATGCACGCAACCGTTCCCGTTCCCCCCCCTCACCCGCTTGGCCTCGGCCAAAAACTGTCCGCCACTCCAGCCGGGGTATGATTACCTCTGTCTCATCCTGCAAGGAAGACACCTGCCTGTCACTCAGGATCTAAAAGCACCTATAAGTTCTGTTCTGTTCTGTTCTGTTCTGTTCTGTTCTGTTCTGTTCTGTTCTATTCTATTCTAGTTTCTTATTCTATTCTAAAAATCTTATTCTATTCTAAATTCCTATTTTTATTCTATTCTATTCTATTCTATTCTATTCTATTCTATTCTATTCTATTCTATTCTATTCTATTCTATTCTATTCTATTGATTTCCCCCGTTTGCTCTAACTAGATTAATCTAGTTTCAGCTCGGCTATGATGCTTATCCTTGTGAACACGCAGTTCCGCGGGAGAACTAATTGAATTAACTCTGAGTTTACAGACCTTATCCTTTGATATGTGGATTAGGTCTGGGTAACTTGTTTGGGGTTTTGAGGAAGTTTGAATCAAACTAAGGAGAAACTTCCTGACAGTGAAACCAGTGGAACAACTTGCCTCCAGAAGTTGTGAATGCTCCAACACTGGAAGTTTTTAAAGAACAGATTGGACAACTATTTGTCTGAAGTGGTGCAGGGTTTCCGGCCTAAGCAGGGGGTTGGACTAGAAGACCTCCAAGGTCCCTTCTAACTTTATTCTGATCTATTCAGAAAGCAGGAGAAGAAGCAACGGATGGAAAGGAGAGAAGCAACCTGGAACGAAAGAGAAACTTCCTCACAGTCAGAAAAATTAACTGGGGAAGGGGGAGGGGGTGCCAAAAGAAAGGAACGAGAAATGCAAACAAGGGAAGGGGGAAAGGAAGGAGGGAAAGCCAGTTGGAGAGAGGGAGTCGGGAGGAAGGAACAAAACAACCTAAAGAGGACGGAGAGTTTCTCCTTATATGGACTAATTCCCTTGGAGCTGCAGCCGGCGGGGGGGAAAGGGAGGAACTAATGCGAGTTCCAGAGACAGAAAGAAAATTTGCTGTCAGAGGGAAAGTTGTGAAAATATATCTACAGATTCCTCACATCCTGGACGTCGGCTGTTTCAACGTCTTCCCTCAAGACGACGCTGTGTAGGGCATTGCACAGCACAACAATCAGACACAAAGGCAGTTCTTTTCCGCCGGCCATCCCTCTGCTAAACAACCCATTCCCACAACGCGGTGGGTGTAAGGCAGGGGTCACCGACCCATGTGGCTCTTTCACCCCTCTGCTGCGGCTCCCTGTCACTCAAAATATGCGTCACAACCGCCAATGTGCGACACGCGCCCGGCACGCGATATGTTGAGCTTTTCAACCCCCCGGTAGGCCAACCACGGATAAACCCGAGAAAAGAAAAGTTTCAGAAGAAAACAGAACGTTTCATTCAACTACAGATGCTAGTTTTGTGGCCGCTCAAGAAATCGTCCAGCATGGGAAGGGTTTTTGTGGCTCCCGGTGTTTTCTTTTCTGTGGGAAACGGGTCCAAACGGCTCTTTGAGTGTTTAAGGTTGGAGACCCCTGATGTAAGGTCTCTTATTTGGGCAGGGGGTTGGACTAGATGACCTACAAGGTCCCTTCCCACTCTGTTCATCTATTTATCTAACTCTGTCAAACAACCTAGTAGGGGCTGTGTTACTATTATCCTTCTCATTTTTCCTATTATCTATTTCCTTATCTTCTTATGACCATCCCTGTTTTGCTTGTATCTTATGATTTATATTGGTTTGTTCTATTTGGTATCCTACTATGGCTTATTATGGTGGTTACTTATTTAGTATCCCAGGACTATGTTGTAGTTTATGATTTATGAGGATCGTGTTTTATGATGATTAGGATCATGACTCATCCCTTGTGGCTTGTATGTACACTATGAATTTATGCACAGGAGGGAAATTCCTTGTGTGTCCAATCACACTTGGCCAATAAAGAATTCTGTTCTGTTCTGTTCCGTTCCGTTCCGTTCCGTTCCGTTCCGTTCCATTCCATTTTCTATTCTATTCTATTCTATTCTATTCTATTCTATTCTATTCTATTCTATTCTATTCCATTCCGTTCCCTTATTCTATTCTATTCTATTCTTTTTTTTATATAAAATAATTTTTATTGAGTATTTTACATTTTAAAACCAAACACACAATAGCAAAAGAAATCAAGAGACAAAAACACACGTACACCAGACATTAAAATACAATACTAACAACAGATATACACAATTTTACAACTTTCTGCCTCGACTTTTGTCTTTACTCTTAGCTTTTATCCTCCCGCTCCTTCTCTTTATTTTTAAATATTCATAATTAACTGTTTTGTTAGCAGGATCATTATTTACATATTCGCAAAGCCAGGGAAAAAAACACACACAAACCACCAGGAATTGTGTTAAGCCACAAAAGAGGAGCAATAATATTCTAAGTTTCGGGGTTGGGGGCCTTTCTCAGCCCAGCCAGGAGAGCCCGTGAGCTCCGCACCGAGGAACTCGGGAAGCAGGTGTTTTTGCCAACCTTTGCCACGCCCCTTTCCCCAGGTATTTTCCAAAGGCTCATTTCCCCTTCCCAGAAAAACACCCGGAAGGGAGGAAGGGCAGAAGCTGCTTTAATCCCTTAATAAACTTAGCAGTGTTTCTCAACCGCGGGGGCTTTAAGATGCGTGGAACTTCAACTCCCAGAATTCCCCAGCCAGGTGTGAAGAAAAAAAAAAAACGGTCATAAGCTGTGCTGGCTGGAGGAATTCTGGGAGTTGAAGTTCCACGCATCTTAAAGCCCCCGCGGTTGAGAAACACCGAACTAGGAGATAAAAATTGATCCCGGATCTGCGCACCTTCCGCCACGCTCTAAAGACCTTTTTATTTCACCAGGCGGGCCTGGCCTAATTTTCTCCCTCTTTTATAAAAGAATTTTTAATTTTTAATATTTTTTAGTATTTTATATATTCAAGTTTTAAATTGATTGGGGTTTTAATTTGTCTGGGCCAAAACAATTTTATTTGATTTTAATTCTGCTTTTTAAATTTTGTATGTGTGTATTTTATTGTTTGGCTGTGCACCGCCCTGAGTCCGTCGGGAGTAGGGCGGTATAGAAATCAAATCAAATCAAATCAAATCAAATCAAATCAAATCAAATCAAATAATAAATAAATAAATAAATAAATAAATATTATAATTTGATCTCCGTCTTGGGGACGGTAGCTTCCTCTCCTACGTGCCTTGTACCCCAGTTCCTGGCTGGGGTCATGGAAGCTGGAACCCCCCCCCAAGAGTCAGAGAAAGGACCCCCCCTCGCTCGACCCCCATCCTCTGAGCAGGAACTCGATGCACCCTGGAAACGTCTCCTGCCTTTGCCTGCCAGAGCCTTCCTGGCGGGCGATGCCTCAGCTGGCAGAGGTGAGTGCCAACGGGCTTCAGGTTCGAACAAGGCTCTCCCCCTTCCAGGCAGGGCAGGGCCCTGGCGCTCCTCCCCATAACGCAAACAGCGAGGAATCCCTACCACGGAGCACAAAGGGCCCTTGTGTGTGGCAGGCAGCGCTGCCGCCGGGCCAGGTGAGCCCCAGAGAGAATCTAGCAGAAGGCAAACTCGCTCTGGCTTGGAAGAAAAACTTCCCAAGGAAGCAGAAATTTTATATTGGGGGGGGGGGGGAAGAGCCAGGGAGGGTGAATTTCGGCTCCCTCTATCCAACTACACCTTTGTAATTCAGGTAGCCCTCGACTTATGACCAAAACCCAGCCCCAAATTTCTGTCGCCGTGTGAAACCTTTATTGTTGCTGTTTTAAGTTTTTTAATTTTTAATTTTTCAAAATATAAACATTCCACCTTTCCTTAAACAGCGTGTCAGTATGGGTAACATACTGTGCAACCACCTTTCAGCTTGTACAACCTCATTCACATTAATACCGCATTTCCCCGAAAATAAGACCCCGTCTTATATTTTTGTTTTGAATCCTGAAATAAGCGTTTGGCCTTATTTTCGGGGAGGTCTTATTATTTTGGGGTGCGTGGAGCAAGATGGGGCTCCTCTTGCCGTCTTTCCTGATTTCCAGCTCTGTCTCCCTAACCTTAACCCAGGAGTCTGCAACCTTAAATACTCAAAGAGCCATTTGGACCCGTTTCCCACAGAAAAGAAAACACCGGGAGCCACAAAACCTGGATGGGCGTGGCCAACTCGATGTCACTCACTTCCATCAGTCACATGACCCCCTAGCCACACCTATCCAGTCGGTCACTAGAGCAGAGAACCAGTTGTTAAAAAATACCGGGAACCACAAAATCCTTTTGACATCTCTCTCTCTCCCCTCCCTCCCTCCTTCTCTCTCTGTATCTCTCTATGTCTCTCTCTCTCCCTCTCTCTCTGTTTCTCCCTATGTCTCTCTCTCTTCCCCCCCCTCTCTCTGTATCTCTCTGTCTCTGCCCTGGCCGCTTCTCCATCCCCCGCCATCACCCTTACCTTCTCAGGCCAGGCGAGGAGTGACTGGGAGAGGAGGGTGAGGGGCGGGGCCAGCCAATGGTGGGATCACCTGACAGGGAGCCACAGCAGAGGGCCCAAAGAGCCGCATGCAAGCAGGTTGCTGACTCCTGCCCTAACCAGAGGAAATGGTAGGGACCACCTGCGCATGTGTTTAAATATTTTCGGGGAGGGCTTATTTTCGGGGAGGGTTTATTTTCAGGGGAGGGCTTATTTTTGAGGAAACACGGTATTAATTCTCTAATCTTAAAGTTATAATACATTAAACAGTTGAATATTGTAAGCCTATTCATTTTTCCTCTTACCATGTCTTCTAGTAAAAACACAATAATAACAGCATTAAGCATAATTCTCCTCCTCCTCATAATACTAACCACTTTTAGTGAGTGAAACCTTTGTGAAGTGCCCTGCTTTGCGACCTGCCTTGCCACGGTTTTTAAGTGAAAATCACTGCAGTTTGTTAAGTTAGTAACACGGTTGTGAAGGGGGGCTCCATCCGCAACAACGTTCTAACATCCGTGCAAACCATCCAGGAGGGATTTTTATCAGTGGTGAAATTCAATTTTTTTTACTACTGGTTCTGTGGGCGTGGCTTGGTGGGCGTGGCAGGGGAAGGATACTGCAAAATCTCCATCCCCTCCCCACTCCAGGGGGAAAGATGTTGCAAAATCTTCATTCCCATCCCACTCTGGGGCCAGCCAGAGGTGGTATTTGCCGGTTGTCCGAACTACTCAAAATTTCCGCTAACGGTTCTCCAGAACCTGCTGGATTTCACCCCTGGATTTTATACCCCCACAATGCAGCAAAATTAAGAAACATGAATTTGGCTCCTTGTGTTGGCCAAAAGTAAAGTAAGACCTGCTAGACTCAGGGGTCTCCAACCTTGTCAACTGACGGACTTCAACTCCCAGAATTCCCCAGCCGGCAAAGCAAAGAATACTGGGAGTTGAAGTCCGCCAGGCTTAAAGTTGACAAGGTTGGAGACCCCTGTGCTAGACAGCAGCCCCCTTCTCCGGCTAACCTTGGTCAATCCTTAAAAATTTGGACCCAGTTTAGTCGGGAATGGGAAGCTCCCAAGAACGGCCAACAAAGAAGTTTAGAAACTTCCCGGAAGAAGCCCAGGCACGTCTTTGCTGCTCTGGAGGAAAACGGCCTGACTAGATTCGCCAAGTGATCTCCACTGAAAGGAGCCTCCACCTCTGAGTGTATGTACCACACCCTGAATTCTTTCATCTCTCCTGCCGTTTCACACGGGATGATTTCAGCAGGGTGCCCTCCCCAACTTGGGAACCTAAGCAGCCCCGTCAGATTCCTGCCAGGGAGGGAATTCAGCTTCAACCATAACCGTTAATAGCAGCTTCTCCATTTAGAGCGGATTTGATGTGCCAGCTTTTCAAGCCATGCCCACCAAGCCACACCCACAGAACCGATAGCAAAAAAAAAATGCATTTCACCACTGGCGCTAAGCCAAACTAAAAGCTTATATAGCCACTTTGCCCAAACTGGTATAAAAGCTAACACACCGGACAAGCCTCGGTGTGTTTATTTTCTTGCTGGCGTAGTGAGTAGTAAAGGAGCCATTAGGCGAGTCCTTCCCACTGATAAGAGGACTAGAATCGGAATAACAGATCTACGGACGTGATCTACTGAAACGAAACACCGAACAAAACAGACTCCGCCGTTTTTTCACAAGGCAAAGGATTTGGACATCTAAGCGTTACGTCAAGAAGGGTTTACAAAACCTCGTGGCAAGAAGAAGTTGCAACGTCGGTGTCCAACTGCGGAACCCAAGGTGCCCTCGGTGCACGCATCAACTCGCACGAACTCAAAAGTTGCATCACAGGAGGACTGCCATCAAAATATAAACCAAGGTAGCTGGGAAAGGAAGCTTGCGAAGAAACCGAGACGGGATCTCAAAGGAAGCACAATTCGATGTGGCAAATGGGGGAAGGGGCTTCCCTGCCTGGCTCCGACAACCCTCCAAGAAGACTCGATCCCTCGGGGTTTCTAAAACCAGGACAATTCGAGACCAGAAGCTGCTTTGAGTAAGCAGAGGGTTGGTTGTAATCTGGATTAGCTATTTGCGGCTTAGCGCGGTTTATGAATCCAGCTGGTTGGGTTACCTTTAAGATCCAAATCTATCGCAAGAAGCCCAAAAGAAGGTAATTCGGTAATTGAGTTAAGTAAGGCTTTTAAGTGACAGCCGCTTAATAAACTACGCCATGGTTTCCTCGCCTTTGGATCGGTGTGAATTTCATAACAACGAGGCCTGTAATTTGTAAATGTTCGCAACAGGCAAATTTATTTAATTAAGCGGCTTCGGTAATCTCGCCCCACGTTCCCATCTCAAAGGATGACGGGTTCATGCGTCCCCTTAAGCTTCTGATGTTTACAGATTGTTTTAACAGAGTTGGAAGGGACCTTGTAGGTCATCTAGTCCAACCCCCACCCAAGCAGGAGACCCTACGCCATTTCTGACAAAATGGCAGTCCAATTTTTTTCTTGAAAGGTGATGAAGCTTCAGGAGTTTCCACGAGCTCTTGAATTTCCTTTTTCGGTTTTTTTCCTTTGTCACTCAAAAGTCTCACTTTGGGGATTTACTGTAAATTTAGACACAGCAGGCTGGTTCGATAAATCAGGCTCCCCACCCCCACCTCTGAAAAAAAACCTGGGCTTAAGCGCAATGTATGAATACACACACACACACCCTTCTAGCCACAACCCACAAACTGGCAGCACGTTGACAAATTCAAAGTTGGTGAAACGATCCGTTTTTGCCTGCCAAGGAAGCCAGTAAAAATTTTTTTTAAAAAAATCCACGAAGGGATGGGATGGAACGGATCCACATACATACTGGACGGAAAGGAAGCAAGCTAAAATGACCACACTAGGCAGAGAAAAAACATTTCTCTTTTTTGGCTCCGCCGCCGTCCTCCAAAAGCTGCAAACCGTTTTAGTTCTCCAAAGCAGGGAGACAACATCAGGGGAAAAGAACTCACCAGTTTCCGGAGCGTGCCTTCGTCCATGCTCAGGAGCGCCTCTTCGGACATGCTGCCGGATTCCGCCCTCGGGGCCACCCCCCCTCTCCTTCTGTCCAAAGAAGCCGGCCAGGCACGGAAAGGAAGGGAGGGTCCCTCCAAATGCTAGTTCTGGATCGGAAGGGATGGAGTTCTGGAAGTGAACAAAGCCCAAAGGGTCAGACAGAGCAAAAAAACCCCCATCAATCGGTTATTCCTGAAAGGCAACTGGATGGGAAGAGCTAATCCCAGGACCGTCAACTCAAGAGGGTCTTCCCCATCCCTTCTTTCAACTCCAAGGAGTTTTTTCCTCCTCCCTGCCCGATTCCTCTACTTTTCAGAGGGCTGGAAATCCAGCCCGGCTTCCTTACGACATCCCAGCCAGTTGTTTGTCACCCAAGCCAGAGCCCTGGTGACTTCACTCCCAGCAGGGCTTCAACCAGCAATCCTGGCGCCCACAGGAAGTCCCTGGCATTCCTTCTCCTGCAAACGCAGCAGGTGAGGAATGGCCCAAGACTGCGGAGGATGAAGGGATGAGGGAAACGAGATGCCCACGGCTTCTGCGGATTCAGCTCAGTCCGATCTTAGGCTGCCTGCTTACCTTGCAGGAGAGTGGAACATGGGCTACGTGGGGCAGGGAAGGAGGGAGGGACACACAACGCAACCGTCAAGGGGAGGAAGGGAAGTGGGACCCTGAGGCTCAGGGGTGTCATTGCTACCAGCCAAAACTTTACCCCGAGTTCCCACGATCTCTGTAACGTCCTCAAAGGAAAGCAGAACCGAGAATGGTTTCCCCTCCTCGCCTCGTGTGACTCCAGGACATGGGGGTAAGTTTACGGTTTGGAGTTCATCCAATCCTAGAAAACTGGCTCTGCCAAAGAAGCCAGGGTTCATTTCATCCTGGGTTGGTTTGTTTTTGTTTGTTTGTTTCCTAGCCTAACTATGCCAGGGCAGATGCCCCCTCCCACGCTCCATTATTGGATGTCACGCTACAGGAAACGCTTCATCCTGATTCAGGGCCCTTTTACCCTTGGAGAGCTGTATTGCAACACAATCTCATTTTAATACATGATGATTTAAGTGTACATTTAAAGTGACAATAAAGTTATTATTCTATTCTATTCTATTCCTATTCTAATTATTATCAGATCAATCATCTATCTTCTCTTCTCCAATGCCATCCTGTTCCATTTCTATTTGCTCTTCTTTGCACTTTTTCCAAAGTCTCAACATTATTCTATTCTATTCCTATTCTATTCTATTCTATTCTATTCTATTCTATTCTATTCTATTCCTATTCCTATTCCTATTCCAATTATTATCAGATCAATCATCTATCTTCTCTTCTCCTATGCCATCCTGTTCCATTTCTATTTTGGACTTTCCAAAGTCTCAACATTATTCTATTATATTCTATTTCTAGTCTAATTATCAGATATTCTATTCTATTCTATTCTATTCTATTCTATTCTATTCTATTCTATTCTATTCTATTCTATTCTATTCTATTCCTATTCCAATTATTATCAGATCAATCATCTATCTTCTCTTCTCCTATGCCATCCTGTTCCATTTCTATTTGCTTTTCTTTGCACATTTTCCAAAGTCTCAACATTATCTATTCTATTCTATTCTATTCTATTCTATTCTATTCTATTCTATTCTATTCTATTCTATTCTATTCTACTCTACTCTACTCTACTCTACTTATTCTACTCTACTCTACTCTACTCTACATTCTACTCTACTCTACTCTACTCCTCCTTCTAATGGCCGGCACCTACCTTTCTCCCACCCTCGTGGGACTCCCACCCTGGATCTACAGGGCATCCCAACTGATGACCGATCAGCCCAACCCACCTCGCCTAGCCCGGCTGGGAAGGGCAGGTATCTCAGGTCCTGGCCACACAACAGCCCTGCAGCGCCAGATCTGCCCTGGGACACGCATTCACACACAGCCCTCTCTACACCCGTGCAAGCAAAATCTCCGCCGACCCTGCAAGCAAGGGAACCCCGCTGGATCCTCAGCCAGCCAGCCGAAGCTCCAGATCACCGCTGCCACGCCCGCCGCCAGCTCCTCCTCCTCCTCCTCCCAGGCACAAAGACCCCTCCCCGATTGGAAGACCTTCTTCCAAAAAACCCCTTAATCCGGATCAAGGATGGGCTCCCGAATCCAATCCAGGATCGGCTCGACGTACCTCGCCCGGCCGCGCAGAGCCATCCAAAGGCGCAGCGGATCGGACGCCCAGCCACCCGCCCGCTGCGGATCCCGACTCGGCTCTGAAAGCAAGCTGAGCAGCGGAACGAGAAGCCAAGCCTTCCCGGAGCTCCGCCCTCTCTCTCTCTCTCGAATGGGCCAATGGCAAGGCGCGCCTCCGCCCCAACGGTCGCGGCCGCGCCCCTTTCCCTCGCCGTCATTGGTCGGTTTCTAACCGTCGGGCCGCCTCCTTGAGGCTGGGCGCGCTTGGCAGGTTGGGAATTGTCGTTTCTGGCAGGCTGGAAGGGTGGGGAGGCTGGCTGGCTGGGGGTTTTGGGGAGATGAAGGGTGGGAGAAGAATCAAACAGCCATGGCTCGTATAAGGGAGTTTTTTTCAAACGGCGAATTGAAAATAAGGTCTTTTCAATAAGGTTTTGCATGTCTGAAATGGTCTGGGGTCTCCTGCTGGACCAAGGGGATGGACTAGAAGACCTCCAAGGTCCCTCTCAACTCTATTATGTTATGTTCTAAATGTTTAGAGTCTCCTGCTGGACCAGGAGGTTGGACTATAAGACCTCCAAGGTCCCTATCAACTGTATTCTCAGTTAATTGATCGCCCCCAAACATACAAGAGACCTTTTGAGCATTCAGATCTTGAAGTTGAGCCCTCGGTGACCGCCTGGACTCATCCAGACTTTGCTTTTGGCAACAGCAAAGAAGTGGGCTGCCACTGCCTTTCTGGGATATTTCTTTTTCTTTTTAATTTCCCAGTCTTGGTCTCCAATCCAAGTCGGTTGACCGAGTGTGTCATGTGTGTGGGAGCCCGAACGTCTTGCTTGCTCCTTGACCAAGCTCCCTCTCTGTAACCCTTGGGAAAAACGGCGGCTGATTTATAGTTGACTGGAAACCCCTTATAGGTTGGCTGTTTGCATAAAACGGAAACAAATGCATTTGTGATTTGTGGTTTTGATGATTAGGGAAAAAAACCAAAATCCTGGATAATAAAAAGATTGAACTTTCTTTGGTAATCATAGCGTAAAAGATAATGTAATTGTCTGCCATTAAATTTGCTGCAAAGGACATTTGAAAGTTCTGCTTTTTATTCTTCCTTGAATGCACTTTTTCTTTTCCTTCTTCTTCTTTCTTTACTTATTTTCTTTCCTTTCACTTTTTTTGTTATTTTGTGTTACTGTAAATGCTTATGCTTTTGTAAAACTATATATGTGAGGTTTTTTAAAATATTTATTGCTGAGATTCTGAGAGTGGGGGGCTGCTGTTGGCCGGCGATTCCGTAAAGAGGGCGGCAGATAAGAAAGAGATCCAGTTACAAGCAGCCTTTAAATGATTATGTTGCCTTTGGTGACCCTGGACTTAGGCTCTCCAGCCGCTGTTTATTCTGCGTCTGGTGGGGACAATGCGTTTTTTGTAGCACGTCTCTCTCCAGCAAGGAAACGAAGGAGCAGATGGCAAGCTAAGTGATAGCACTTCAGATCTGAAGGAGAGACCAACAAGGAGGAGGGGAAGTCTAAAAACATCCCGGACGTAAAGAACAATGGCCTGGACTTGTCCATGAAGTCTCCAGGATCTGAACGTGGCTTGGGGGCTGGTGGAAAGCTGCCTCTCTCCCTCTGCATCCCAGAATGAGTAAAGCACATTTCTGCCCCAGGCCCTACCTGCTGGATTCTCCCAGCTCACCTGGGGACTGAATTAACCCACCCTAACCCATTTGCATTTGCAGAATCAGCTGGATTCTGAGTATCAACAGTAGAGTCCTTCAAGTTTCTAGGTTCTATCCCATCTCAAGGCTTAAAATGGACAGTTAACATCAAAAACGTCATCAAAAAAAGCACAACAAAGAATGTTCTTTCTGCGCCAACTCAGAAAGCTCAAACTGCCCAAGGAGCTGCTGATCCAGTTCTACAGAGGAATGATGGAGTCTGTCGTCTGCACCTCCATAACTGTCTGGTTTGGCTCTGCAACCCAACAAGACAGACCCAGACTTCAGAGGATCATTAGAACTGCAGAAAAAACAATGGCTACCAACCTGCCTTCCATGGAGGATCTGTATACTGCAGAAGTCAAAAAGAGGGCTGGGAAAATATTTACAGACCCCTCACATCCTGGACATAAACTCTTTCAACTCCTACCCTCAAAACGACGCTATAGAGCAGTGGTCCCCAACCTTTTTATCGCCGCGGACCAATCAGCCTTTGATAATTTTACCGTGGCCCGCTGAGCGCGCGCAGGGGTGGGGGCTTTGGGCCACACGTGCGTACCTGCGCGGGGCTCTCTTCCCTGGAGCCTTTGCGCACAGCCCAGGAGCTTTTGCGCACGGCCCAGGAGCCTTTGCGCTGCAGCGTTCATGTCCCCCGGCCGCTGCGCGGCCCGGTGCCAGGTACTCCACAGCCCGGCACCGGTCCGCGGACCGGGGGTTGGGGACCACTGCTATAGAGCACTGCACACCAGAACAACTAGACACAAGGACAGTTTTTCCCCGAAAGCCATCACTCTGCTGAACAACTAATTCCCGCAACACTGTCAAACTAGTTATTAAGACTGTATTACTATTATTCTTCTCTTCCTTACTAATATCTATCTCTTCCCACTTATTATTATAACCATGTTGGTTGTATCTTTACAACTTATATTGTTTTTATTGTTGCCTAGTATGATTTGTTTGCTTATTAGTAACCTATGACTATCACTAAGCATTGTATCTTATGATTCTTGATTAATATATTTTATTTTTTCTTTATGTACACTGAGAGCATATGCACCAAAGACAAATTCCTTGTGTGTCCAATCACACTTGGCCAATAAAAGAATTCTATTCTATTCTATTCTATTCTATTCTATTCTATTCTATTCTATTCTATTCTATTCTATTCTATTCTATTCCATTCCATTCCATTCCATTCCATTCCATTCCATTCCATTCCATTCTCCTTCCTTCTTTC